TGTTTTTGAAAGCATTTTCAATTCCTTTCACTTTCACTTCCCACGCGCGGCACATATAATTATGATTATAATTTAAGATTCCAAATCTGACGAATGTATTATTAAATAGCGTATAATGCTGAGTTAGCCAATGCATTGCAATGCGCACTATTATCAATTGATCGAATTGTAACAAGACTTCAATTTGATCCGTAACAAGAGGCCACTTATTTTTTATACGTGTTCATGAATGTGTGTTTGTTTACTGTGTGCGGGGATTAAAAATTAAAGATTAAAGATTCCAGATCTGACGAATGTATTTATAAAATAGCGTAATAGTGCTGGGTTAGCCGATGCCTTGCGATACTTGCTTTTATCAATTAATTGATTTGTAACAGGACTTCGATTTGATCCGTAACAAGACAACACTTATTTTTTCTTATACGTGTTCAAAAATGTGTGTTTGTTTACTGTGTGCGGGCATTAAAGATTCCAGGTCTGACGAATGTATTTATTAAATAGCATATAGGCCTATAGGGCAGGGGTGTCCAACGCATTGCGATACGCACTTTTATCAATTAATCGAATTGAAACAGGACTTCAATTTGATCCGTAACAACAGACCACTTATTTTTTCTTGTTCGTGTTCCAAAATATGTGTTTGTTTACTGTGTGCGGGGATTACAGGGGGACAAGCCCATCCCCTCGACATGTGATCCAGAGTATGGGGATACATTTTTCTCAAAATGCACACAGCTTTGAAATCCTTGACCAGTGATCACTCGCCATGGAACTCTTTCTGTTGTGACTGTAGACACAAGTTTCTTCATTATCACATCTGAATGAGCCTCTCATTCATGCATTAGAAATCACACTCCCAACACACAGAAAATGACTTTGAACATATATTCAGGAAACATATGCCAGTTCCACTCTTGTTTACTTTGTTTTGCATTATTGGCTTTTATGTGTAAAACAATATTTAGAGGCCTTTTCTGCATTTTATTGTTTTTGGCAGCATGTACAATAGGCCTATGTATTTTATGTGCAACCGACACATTCTCCAATCGTAGATCTAGTACTAATCAAGACTATATCTAGATACTTTTCCAACAGAGTTAATGTTCATAATTAGTGTTATTATCAAGTGTATTGTGATTGTGAAGATCTTTAGTAGATCTAGATCTAGTAGTAGATCTAGAGATCTAGATCTATCTAGATCTAGATCCCATCCCATCATTAAAAAAACAACAACAAACCAACAATACAGATACAAAAACATTGTAACATTGCCAATTATGACATATTGTTGGCAGTAAAAATGTACTAGACTATTTCACTATATTTCCTCTTCGAAGAAAGTTTTAAAATACTGATGTAACTTAATGTAAGGTGTCTTCCAAGCCCTACCACTAGCATCAGCGTGCATAGCAACGCGAAGCCTCGCTGTGCGGCGCAGCCAAAGGTGCCCTCAACTGGCCGCCATGTTTTAGTTTCAATTCCTCACAGCGAATCGGCGATCGCGAAGAGGGAGTTCCGCTTCTATAAGTGTAGAATTCTGTGGGCCTAGATTCCTCGTTTTGGTAAACTCTGAAAACTGGAGAGTTATTTGCATATGAGGCCCCCATCAAGGATGAAAGAGAATTTGCAGGTCAGCCTCGCCGTTTTTGCCCAAAGGGGGGGTGCCCGGATTGTAACATAAAATCCGTAGTTTCTCAACCTTCGGGCACATAAGATAATATAGCGCCAATGGTTATATAATAAAGAATCAAGAATTTGTGCCTAATTTAAATAATAATAGAGTCAGATACAGCATATTAGCTCAGTCAGACACCAGGGTAGTAAAGTGCGATACCAGCGTGTAATACAGTCAGATATCAGAGTAGCAGAGTGAGATACCAATGTAGTTGAGTGAGCCAGATGCCAGTGTAGTAGAGTCAGATACCACGTAGTAGAGTGGGTCAGATACATACTCATTAAAATAGCTATAAATGGTGAAAACCACTTTAGACAAACTATCATTGTGTCCAAGTGTTGATAACAAGCATTGAAAATCTTGTTATTAAGCTTGCAAAGAAACAAATGTGATAATAATTGAAAATGACCGAATGTCAAAATACTGCCCGAGTCCATGAGAAAACCAAAAAAATGTGTCCGAACTCGTAAATAAATCGGGCGTCACTTTTGCACCCAGTAAGGGCCTCAAATATGAGAACAAGCTGAAACAGGTCATTCCTGGGGTCATCCAATCACAGGACTTCCTGTAGCTGGTTTCGGTTTCATCCTTATTTTGACCGAACCGGTAATTTTACTCTAGATTTCTAGATCTAGAATAAAAGTATATCAAACGTGTACATGAGACGGGTATATTAGTAAAAAAATACCTCTTATTTTTTTAACAATCTGCAGTGTAGCCTACTAAAAACGATTTACTTTGTCGAAAAGAGTGTCGTAAATGGAAAGGGTGATGAGTCAAGCAAAAGAAAAACTTTTCATTTGTTGTTGTGTGTGAAGAGTAGGCCTAGACTCTAGAGGGAAAGGGAACTCCTGCGAGTTCATTAGAATTTAATACGGGGTGCCCATTGCGGATGGGGTCGGGTCGGGTCGGGTGCGATCGCTCCACTCGTCGCCTAAAAACAAACGTGTTTGTTTACTTCAAGGGGACAGACCCCCCTGAAACCCATGTTTAGTCCAAAGCGCACAAATTACGATGCGGTTAAGTAAACGGTTAATAAAAATAAGGGGGTGCCCATTAGCGAGAGCGGGTCAGGTCTCAGGTCGTTGGGTCAGGTCGTTTTTTGGTGGTTTCAGTGCACACTACAATCCCGCCGCGATTGTAGGCCTACCTGACGACCTGGAAGTTAAAGTAGGGCCTAGAGAAACCTTTAACCTCAATGACAATGGCTTCCAGGCTCCTTTCCGCAGTTCCCTGTAGCGGTGCTACGGCAGCCTGCAATCCCATAACATGGTTACAATAGTTACATCGATAACTTTCTATATTCAAAGATCGTTCCTAAGAAGATAGATCTAGATATCTAGCTCTACAGGCATGTTGGTGCTTTTTCGGTAGTTCCCACCCCCCTTATTTGAGCCTGACCTACATCGAAATCTATACTTTTGATGCGCGGCAAGCTAAGATATCAAACCTAACAACTGCAAAACATCAAATTATGCCCCCCTGAAACCCCCCACCATATTTTTATTAGGTCAGGGGGGCCTGAAACCCCCCTACTCTTGAGGCCAAAACCGGCGAATAACAATTGCGGGATGGGAACAACCGAAAAAGCGCCGGACTGCCTACCTCAAAGTTCCCATTTCAGGTAAATTCAGTTTCAGGTATTTTGGCCCAAAATCAGGTAGTAGACAATGTAGGAAAAAAAATGATGATCGTTGCCCCTTCGAACGTGCTTGCTTTTTGTGATTATATTGGGTAATTATATTTTGAAAATTTATCTGAGCATGCACATGTGTGTGTGTGCAGGCGTGCATGCTCTCGGGTGTGTTATATAAAGGGCGTGAGCCGGGCTACCCGGGAAGCGCCCACGCCCTACATATATATAGGGCTGACCTACTTCGACCGGGAAGCACGCAGGCCCTATATAAAGGGCATAGACGCTGACTTTTTTCAATGGAAAATTCCAGTATTCCTTATAGTAAATCAGAATATAATCTCTACATTCAGAGAAACATTTCGCTGCTGATTAGGCTTACTTGACTAATCTTAAATCCTATAGAGGCCTATCTAATGTTTTACAGCATTCACGCTTGTTGCGCATCGTGAGCCTAGGTCTAACAAAACATTACATGCAGTTAAGTTACCCAAGCACCGGTCAGAAACCTTTTTTCAAAGATGCCTTTCCAGTAACCAATCAAAAAACATTTCAGTCCCCCAACCCCCAACATTTCACCGATCAGTCCTAGACCTATGTGTCATGAGGGGCAGTCTCACCAAATATCCGGTTTTCTAGGCTTGTCATGCAAGCTGTGCAGGTTGTAGTGGAAATTTCCCCTTGTCAAGCTTTACCTGTGTCGGCGTGTTTCACGGATCGGAGGGTGCGTTTAGAGGGAGTGACCATGCGCTTGTACGTCTAAATTATATAGTAAAAAACCCATGGGATGACTGAAGCATGCGTTTGAGCGGAGCGTGCTTTTGTGTGGGGTGCGTTTAGGCGGAGACTACTGTATTATTATTGTGTATAATGGAAAAAAATGTTTTTTGCGGTATTTTACTATTTAACTTAGTGTTAAAACTATACCATACAGGTTTTAAAACAGAAAATATCTGAAATAGATCTAAATCTAAATACAGATTACAGGTGTATGGAGGTTTCAAGAGAAAAATGGAAAAGGATCTGAATTGAATGGAGCATATATAAGCTTATTTTGTATTTTTGGAGTTTGTTTCGTAAATCTCCCGTCAAATATTTGTTTTTTGACTAAACCTCATGAAACTTCATATACTCTTCTAGATCTTTGCATGAACCAAGTACTCGGTATGCACTAAATTTGGTCAAATTTTTGGCTTTCATTTAAAAGCTACAACGAAAACTGAGGGTTCAATTTTTTTTGTGTCATGCGATATTATTATTATTATAATATATTTGGTCTATAACTTATTGCTAATGTACTCGTGTGTTGTTACTAGTAAATATTGTTAATAAAATTTGTATCGTGCATCATGATTTGTTAAAAAGCTGTTCTGCTTTTATGCTACTCAAATTGTCATGTTTTTGAAACTGAAAATCATTGTAATGCGCCTGGGATGGGAAGGTTGTAATTTTTTTGCAATTTTTAGGTAGTTTACTTGGCAAATTTTTGCAATTTTCTATTTTTAAAATGCAATTTTCCGCGGTGCCATGATTATGTACCTCATTTCTCACACCTGGGAATCCCACTTAGTGACAAAGACTCATGAGCTAAAGGTCGGGTGGGCTAACTCTAAAACAAACAAACATAACCCACTAAGCTTTCACTTTGAAAGAGAAGGAAAAGTTGAATATATCTCATGTTGTCTTTTTCAGGGCAAGGAGTCCTCCACATTGAGGTTATTTGAACTGTTGCAAGCAAAATCAGCCCTGTGTATCCACGAGAAATACCCCTGTGGACTTCACTCATGGAAACAGAAAGTCAACATTGAGGTTATTCGAACTGTTGCAAGCAAAATCAGCCCTGTGTATCCACGAGAAATACCCCTGTGGACTTTACTCATGGAAACAGAAAGTCAACATTGAGGTTATTTGAATTGTAGCAAGAAAAATGAGACTTGTGTTTCCTCCAGAAATACCCCTGTGGCTTTTACTCATGGTAGCACAAAAACTAGTTGTATAACCAAACGTGTTTTTTCAACACAAAAAAAAGTCATTTTAAACTGTGGATAGAATTATTTTATTTTGTTTTTGTTGTGGCTGATCATCTTGCTTGCTTGGTGTTCCAATACTTTTCTCATTATGTTCTCTGGGTGTAGATCTGTATCGTCATTCATTAAAATAATAGCAGTTAATGTTTTGATTTGGTCTTTTGAGATTTGATTTTTTCAGCCTTTAAATCAATAGAACTATGCTAACTATAAGGACTAAATTAGTAAATGTTGCTATTGGCAGCTACAATAGTCTTAATGCCCGAGTAAGAGAGGATTACATTTAAAATATATAGAAAGCATTAATAATTTATTCATGTAGAGTGGAAAAGATTTGCACCAGGGAGGTTGGATCTGATTAAACAGGACTGCAAATTTCGTATACCAAAGTACCCACGATGAGAGAGAGAGAGAGAGAGAGAAATGGGCATGGTATGAGACTGAGTGAAGACCAATAACGTCTCTATAATAAGCCGAGGGCAATAGTTTAGGTCAAGGAAGTGCTTACTGCATAAGTCATAGAACTTTTAATATTCAACGGTGGATTTAGCTGCTATACTTGAGTTGTCTGTCTCTAGTCTGTGGTTACTTGAAGACACATATTGTCACGTGTGTCAGTGTGCTTCCTCTTCAATAGATTACTCTTTATGCAACAGCTTGCCGGTGTTTTGCAAAGTTTGGTCTTTGTGAAATTGTAGAGAGTGGACCATGGCAGAGCAAAGGAAGCGGAAAAGCTTCTCAGTTGAGGAAAAACGTCTGATCCTGGCAGAGGTGGATAAGAAATCTGTGTCAAAAACCCAAATATGCAAAACTTTTGGTATTTCTAACTCAACTTTATCAACTTTCATAAAAAACCGGGAAAAAATTGAGAATAGTTCTGAACCAGGGAGGAAAAGGCATAAACCAACCAAGTTTGTACCGCTGGAACAAGCAGTGTTTAGATGGTTCCAAGAGGCGCAGGCTCTGGCGGTCCCTGTGTCATACCAAATTCTTTCAACTAAGGCAGAAGAGGAAGCAAGAGCAATGGGGATTAATGGTTTCACCGCCAACCCCGGATGGTTGAATCGTTTCAAGAAAAGATACAACATCATGAGCAAAAGTGTACAAGGAACTAGAGTGAAAACTCTAGTGATGAAACAATGGATTGAAATGGACTTTCAAGAACTTCTCCAGAACTTTGAGGCAAAAGATATCTACAATGCTGATGAAACGGGTCTTTTCTTTGGCTGTCTTCCGTCAAAAACTATGAAGTTGAAAGGAGAAACATGTACAGGGGGTAAGTTTGCCAAAAACAGACTGACTGTGTTGGTTGCTGTGAACATGGATGGATCTGACAAGCTTCCTCTTTTGGTGATCGGCAAATCCCAAAAGCCAAGATGTTTCAAGCATTGTTCACATTTTCCGTTGAAATATTTGGCCAATTCTAAATCGTGGATGACGGGTGAAATATTTGAGTCCTGGGTTCGCCAGCTGGACAACCGTTTTGGCCGTGAAAACAGAAAGGTGGCCCTTTTCATGGATGACTGCCCTGCACACCCTGACATCGACAACCTCAGTGCAATTACACTCGTCCGCCTGCCACCAAACACCACTGCCGTCCTTCAGCCTTGTGGTCAGGGTATCATTGCCTCACTCAAACAACACTACAGGAAAATTGTTTTGCAAAAGCTAATAGCCCGCTTAGATGAAGGGAAAGATGTTGGTCTGTTTGATCAGAACATTTTGGAGGCAATGTATGACCTCAAGACTGCTTGGAACAATGTATCAGCAGCTACTGTCGTCAACTGTTTCCAATTTGCTGGATTCCAATCTATCGAATCAAGCGAGCAAGCCTCTCATCTTCCGTCATGCTCTTCCAATCAGTGTAGAGAATATGACCTCTTTGGGAGATTTGCACAGGACATTTTACCACAAGATGTGACTTTTCAGCAATATTTATCTGTTGATGAGGCTGTCCACACCTGTGAGGAATTAACAAGCCAAGAAGTTGCTTCAGACAACAACAGACAAGAAGAGGAAAGTGAGGACGAGGAAAGTCCAGTGCCTCTTCCTCCTCCATCAACATCTGACGCGAGAAATGCAGTCGCTACTTTGCGTCGATATTTACAGACGCAAGACTGGGAAACGGTAGATGAATATCTTGACTCTGTTGGCAACATAGCATCATCAGTAGATTTCCATGCCATCACTAAGGGAAAACAAACTTCGATTAGAGATTTCTTCAAAGTTAGATTTTAATGCTTTTGTATGGTACCATTTGTAGTGGTAGTGGTCTTCCGTCAGTCAATGTTGACTGTGGATGTTGCACCAATAGTGAAGTTAGGTTGGTGCCTCTTCAACAAAGGTGTCCATGACTCATGAGTCCAATCAGGGAGTGGCAGCCCCCACCACATTGGCTGGACTGGTGAGGGTGACTGCAAGGGTGCGAGCCCTTCTGCCTGGCCCTCTTTTCTACAGCTGTGGTAAGGATTTGTTCTTCACCATACTTCAGCTGTGGTCAGGATCATTTCTCACCATACTTCAGCTGTGGTCAGGATCATTTCTCACCATACTTCAGCTGTGGTCAGGATCATTTCTCACCGTACTTCAGCTGTGGTCAGGATCATTTCTCACCATACTTCAGCCGCTTGTCAGGGACACTCTGAGCCATCTACTGCTGTCCACGTCTGTGTATTTCTCACCATACTTCAGCCGCTTGTCAGGGACACTCTGAGCCATCTGCTGCAGTCCACGTCTGTGTCTTCACAGCTCTCTGTGTTGGTATCTCGCGACCTCAATGCTTTCTTGTCATATCTCCTTTTTTTGAACAGTGAAAATGTGACGTCTTCTTAAGCTCACTCTTTGTATGAACTGTTTTCACTGTTATTAAAAATGGAGATGCGCCAAGATAGCACTGGGGTCACGATCTAGAGCTTCCATGTTGCATTTACTGATGTCTTTGAAGCATGACTGGGGGCAGCCTATAGTTTTCTTGCTGGAGGCAAATTGTCTGTATAAGTGACCTTATGATGGCAACCATTTTTCATATGTCACATGTGGCAGTGCCTTAGCAGGCTGCATTGTCTGAGCTGCATGAACATTGTGGATAGACCAGTGCGTGCCAAGATCTGGGCACTGGGAACTTCGTTGCTCAACTTTGTGCCGAGGATGTGGTGGAGGCAGCTCATGTGGAAACTTCTGCTTGCCTTCTTGACTGACATAGTATAATATGTTGTCTATATTATTTTTGTGACGTAGAGAAGAATGCTGACTTTCACATTCCTAGGTTTTATCATGCTGCAAATATACTGGTCATATATCTTTGCTTATTTTTATGCTAAACTAACCATTTCAAACAAAAGTGTTTCTTAGTATGTCTGTTCCTGCTTGAGCTTGCACAGACACTTGAGACTTTTTTTTACATTTATCTTTGTCTGCCACTAACTCGCTGTAACCAGTATTGACCATGGTGTATTCATGTATTTCAACTTAAAGGAAAATATGAATTTGTGTTTACAAGTCAATAAGTGGCACCTGTCAATGACTCATTACACACATTTGGTCGCTTTTAAGCACAAGGGGGCTGTCCCGAAAAATGCTGTTTCGAGAAAATCGAAGGTAAAGTTTTTCGACCCTTGTTCAGTTTTTTTAAAAGACAAGGAGAGTTTTTTCTATAACCAAACAAATATACACACTCATGAAACCAAATTCTCCTATAGGTAGAGCAATGTCCACTTTTGGGGCAGGTCAAGATTTCTAGAAACCCCTGAAATCTGAGTTAGCCTGCTTGTCCTTAAAAGTAAAAATGACCATTTTGGCTTGGCATAAGGGACATAAATCATATAAAATTTTGACCCAATTGTCCAACTTTATCTCCTTTGTTATGGCCTAAAATTTGTTCATAATGAAAAATTTTTAAAGTCCTGCCGATTTCGCCGTGTTTTTACGAGACTGAGATATGTTTGTATTCTTTCTCTTTTCAGGGTAAGCAGCACAGGCCTGTAAAGAGACTCGATCAGTCTGGCTTTAGCTAGGCTTTGAGGTGAACTCAAATAGTATCTTTGCAGTAACTGTGCGTTTTATTCTAAAAAAAAAGCTCGAAACTATGAGCAGAGCGCCAGTTTCTGGGAGGAATTAAATAAAGCCGTGATAAAACCTAGGAATGTGAAAGTCTCAACTAGAGGTACACCGAGCTAGTTGAATACAGACATTTTGGATACTGACTGAAACTTGTTTTTTCTCTTCTTGACAAACGACCAAGATGAATTTAGAGTTCCAGGTGTGTTTGCTGCCGTGGATTCTCTTTGCTCTATTCTCCCTTTTAGGGTACGTCTTAGAGCCGATTTTTGGAGAATGTAGTCCCGTTATATACGCAGCTGTGGCTCTTTGGATGATTGTTATAGGCTTTGCGCTGGCTGGAAAATGTCCACAGGTGAACAGTGGGAAAAATGAACTTGAAAATGAAAGCCTGAACCAGCTGCCTTGTGCAAGCTTAAAAGTGATCCTCGGCATTTGTGTCAGTATGGGAATAATGATTTCTATTTTGTTCATCTTTGACTGGGGGTATGTTTCCTTGCTAATGCTGTGTGTTTTTTGCATATTGTTTGTTGTGAATAGTGACCAGAAATATGTGCACAACTGTTGCAGAATCCGTGATGGTTTTTCTGCCAGCGATGTTGAAATAGCGCGGGAGTTAACTATTAGTGAGACCCCGGTGGTTGTCGATCTTTATGCAGACTCCGCTCTCCACTTTGGAATGAATGTTAAAGCCTCCGTGCTGGCCGCGGTTCCTCCGGGCTGTCCCCACTCTACAGGCTCCTTTTCTGTGGAGAAATTAAAATTGAAAGAGGGACTGTGTCAAAGTCAAAGTATACAGTGAGGAAATGTACAGGGGAGTCCTCTTTTTAGATGTTGTTGCTTGTGGTTTTTTTGCTAAGAGTTTATAAAATCTTTGAATGACTAGACCTACGTATTACTTACTGCTACATCTCTCTGTAAGGGTATTTTTCATAATTTCATTGAAACAAAATTTCCAGAAATGGTTGAGTTTCTATAGGTTGGTGATTATCACCTTTTGACATCTCGATAAAATGCTGTAGCCTTCTCTTCATGAAGATGCTTCAGTAATTAATTTGAATTCAAATGGCAGTAGTGGCGTTGGGGTCCTAGTAGTTAGGCTTTCAGATTTGCAGCCATAAGGTCGTGGGTTTAAATCCCTTCATGAACATGACGTTTGTTCCAGGGGAAAAGCCCTTTACTTGAATTTTCCTCACTTTACCCAGGTAGGAATGGGTATCCGGCTATAGATAGCGAAAGGCCTTGTCAGTTTGTTAGTGTTAGAGGGCTTGCAACCCACAGCATGCACTGTATACTTCCTGGGAAGCTGAGGATGTTTCTGAGTATTCAAGGGTCTACTTGGGGTAATAATGGTTGTAAAGTGCATAGAGCATGCTTTAGAGCTTGGATGTATCCTATATAAATGCAGTTGTAGTACATGCGTAGGTAACTTTCTCGCCATTTGTTAAAGTGGTAAAAGTAAAATACTCATTTGCATGTAATGATTAAGCCAAAAATGTTTCTATATTCGAGTAGAAGCTATATGCTAAACTGAGATACCAGCTGTAGTTGTGAAAATGGGAAGACTAAAATGCTCCCCATTCATGAAAGTCCACTTTCCACCGGTGTTACAATGAATTATGTTCCTTTTTTGTTGTTCCTTGCTGTGTAAGACAGCCATTTCCATGTGTTTTATTTTACTCGATTTCTGCGTATATTACATTTATATGCTAAAATTATCTTACCGACCATGTTTAAATGATTTTTGAAAGTATTTTGGGGTTTGAAGTACTGTACAGTGGAACTTGGTTTCAGTGAACTCAGGATTCAGCGAAAACTCAGATTCAACGAAAGGAGTCGATTTTTTAATTCATAAAAATCAATAAAAATAACTTTGATTCAACTAACACATAAATGAGCAAGCTCGGATTCAACGAAGTCGCTTGCAGGGTGAACTTCTCTATCCGACCAGTCAGGGACCTCCTTTCATACCAACACAGACGTTGTAATCACGCAACCATGTCTTATCATCTGTAGGGGTCGGATGGGCGGCCAGAACACATGTGACTGTGTGTCTGGGGGGATGGGAGGAGGGGGTAGGCCTACAAACAATCCGAACGTGGAACGTCAGTAGAGAAATAATCGGGACACTGTAATTAATTTTTTAAATCCCGGCTACTGATCAATATTACAATGATAAGCTATTCTTGACATAGAATAGATCTACGTAATAAATTGCATGCTGGACTGGAATTAAACGTTGCTGTATGCTAGGCTCTACACAGCAGCATAACTTGTTTGGTAAACAGTAAGTTATAGATGATAGATGATTCAGGTGTGTATTTGAACAAATCGGCTCTATTGCACGATGTGTGCTTGGTAGAATTCAGTGTATTTTCCTGGAATTTTCCAGTAATTATTTGGTATCAAAGAAACGAAAATGCCTCTCATTTGAAACCAAGCTACTTTTGATTGAGAAAATCGAATACATTATACATTACTTGCTCAGTGCCCATAATTATCTACACAAAAACCTCCTATTTGCCATCACGAACAAAGGAATTCAACGAAATTGAAGGCCAGGCCCGACGACTTCGTTGAATTCGAGCTTCACTGTACTAACACATGAGTACATGGTGTTGTGTTATCTTATGCAAAAGAGTTGAATGTTTCTGTCCAATGCCATGTAGTGATAAGTGTAGGTTTGCTGCTGTTACAGTAATGTTCCATAGAGTGTGTTGTCAATGTTAGGTCTCGGAGGGAGAAGGGTAGCTCTGATGTCATTAAGGGCTGTGCAGTGGAACATGTGATGATCCACAGTCTCATACTCATGCATAGTCACACTAGGGACACATTGGGGGAAGTTCCGGGTTTATTCTGTTCAGGTGGAAGTTGAGCTGTATATGTTATTTCTGTCTGACATCCTGCATTCCCAAGACATGTGATAAATGATAATTTTTATTATTATATATGTATGTGTATATTGTTGCCTGAGAAATTGGGCTGTGCCATCTTTTCCTTTTTCAAACTGATGCTGTCATTTGAAAGCTGTTTCATTTCCCATCATGCCACAGTTTAAATCTTTAGGATATATTCGTATGTGACAGAGCTAGGCTTATTTTAGGTTACAAACTGCGCGAAGTGCAAAACAGAGAAATATTCTCTAAACAGGCTGTAATTAGTTTTGCGGACATTTTGAGGAAATATTTCAAATGAAATGATAAATGCTCTGGAAAAGAAAATGAGCTTTCTCAAGTAATTCCATTGTCTTTTTGTTTAGATGGTAAATTTACCATATCAAAACTTGCAAATGTTTGGATGGCTAGGCATTTTTTTGCTGCTTCATAGGTTATGAACAGAGTTAAGTCTTTTGAGTTGCTTTTCTTCACACTACCTTATCAAATATTTTTACAGCTTTACCGTACTCCCTTTACCTTGAACTTTCTGTTATTCCTCTTACCTTCTTCAAATAACATAGACGTACTGTCGCCTCAGCATGTTTTGGGATTTAACGTGTCTTGAAGCCTGCTGTAGGCTGAGACCCAAAACTCAACAGGGGTCTTGAGAACCTGCGGCCAACAGCAGCTTTCACATTAGTAATTTAGTTAGAGTTTAGAGACTGGGATTTCCATTTTAAGATGAACAAGAAGAAGACTTGTCTTGAAAACTAAAGAATGACTTGTGGGCGGTATAACTGAAACTGGGAGAGCATGCCCGTGCTTCTCCAAACTCGAATGAGACATGTGTATCGGCCGCCTCACAGTGAGCCGCAAGTCTATTGAAACATGTAAATTTTTCAGAAGGAGGGTGGGCATCATAAGGTTTTTAAGCTATGATTACCCGTTACACTTTTTTGACTCTGATTTTGGATCTTTGAGATTAAAATTAAATAAAATGTGTGTGTGTGCCTGGAGAAAGGTCCCAGTTGTCAAAAAAATTGTATTGAAATAAGAGAATATTCTTGTCGCAAATTTAATGCTGAACATGCTGATTTTAAAAAATGTTCAAATATTTTGTGAACAGGGTGTAAAAAAGTTTCGAGATAAAAGTAATTTCTAGCACATTTTTAACCTTTGGTGAAGTACAACATGTTGCAAAAATGACTAGATCTAATAAAGAATATTTAGTCTTAAAATATCATTAAATCTTGTGTTTTCTGATGGAACAAATTTTTTTACCAACTATGACTTTTTGGCCTTTCCACCCCGTTGCTCTGATATATTGATATATATAGCTTTGCCGACCATTAGGACCGTTCTCCAGACACACACACAAATATTGGAAGGCATTGTGCATCGTTGTTTTACTACTCACTAGTGAACAAGTCTATGATGGGTTGGAGTGAATTGAAGGGGGGGGGGGGGGGGGTTCACCATAGCCACTGTGAGCCACAAATGGTTTGAGGATGAGAGAGGGTGCGAGAGAATGGGGAGCTGTTGGAAGTGGGGGGGGGGGGGGGAATGAGGAGCTGTTGGAAGTCCATGAGAGACACGCCACCCTGTTTCTGATCTTGGGACGGTGTGTGTTGTTCGTAGAGGTACTTTCAAAATGTCGTCTGTC